GTATGATAATGTTTGTTTTCAGAGTCACACCGATTCGACCATTTTATTCTCCGGCCTGCTTTACCTGAATATCGTACTCAGCAACCTCAGTATTTGGAACTGATGTAGGAAATTTCTTTCTCATTTTCAATTCCTGTGCTTCAGGAATAACTAGCATCATAAAATTCTTTGATGGTCTATTCACACGAATGGAAAACGTCGACTTTTCAGACCGAAAATCTATAAACAAACATTATAGGATTAAATAATAATGATAATAATTCATATACGATACAAGGAACAGGAAGAAAAGTCAAGTTGCTGTTAGCGCAAGTTATTCAGTTTCAAGTTTGAGTTGAATTGCTAAATTTGACTCTGTGAACCACTATTCTTTCTTAGAAGGAAATTGCCTATTTATCAACCCGTTCGTAACTATTTACTCTCACAAAAGAACATTAGCTATCAATTCACATAGCAAGCTAGATATATATATATATATATATATATATATATATATATATATATATATATATATATATAGAGAGAGAGAGAGAGAGAGAGAGAGATAGATAGATAGATAGATAGATAGATAGATACATAGGAAGATGACTATCACTAGATAGATAGATAGATAGATAGATAATGAACAGGTTTCGATAGATAGCAACATTGCTATCTCGTTCGCTAGCTTGATATTAGCATATTTAGATAGATAGATAGATAGATAGATAGATAGATAACAATAGTCTGAGATAGATCGATAAATAGATAGATAGATAGATAGATAGATAGATAGATAGATAGATAACAACAGTCTGAGATAGATAGATAGATAGATAGATAGATAGATAGATAGATAGATAGATAGATAACAATAGTCTGAGATAGATCGATAGATAGATAGATAACAACAGTCTGAGATAGATAGATAGATAGATAGATAGATAGATAGATAGATAACAATAGTCTGAGATAGATAGATAGATAGATAGATAGATAGATATGAACAGGCTGAGATAGATAGAGAGAGAGAGAGAGAGAAAGAGAGAGAGAGAAATCAGATCTTACAAGAATAGGATATATAAAAATGAAATGGACAGCAATATAGATTTGAGAAAGCATTAACGAGTGTTTCGATCAGCCAATATATTTCTCATCTTTTATCAAATATGATTCATATGTATGTGGCGATGGCTGTGCGTGTAGAGGTGCGTCCTTGAATAATGAATTACAAAAAAAAAAACTTTCCTGGAAAACATCACTATGTGAATTTTTTAATCTATTTAATACATTGAGAACACATGAATAGACGTAGAACACACACCTACAGACACATACACGCACGCCTACATACACATACATACATACATATATACCCACATATATGTGTGTGTGCGTGTATGTGCATTTGTGTGTGTATGTGTGTAAATTATCACACATTGAGTGCTGGTGGTAATATATCAGTATCCGATGTATAATAAATAAGAAAATTTATAGTAAGAATAAAGATACATTTTCCCTCACCGGTAGCAGGAGTTACCGGCACGATGCGATCATCAGTTTCTGATTGAAAATCAAGCGTTACACACACACACACACACACACACACACATACACACACACACACACACACATGCATACATACAGACAGACATACATGCATATATACACACACACATATATATATATATATATATATATATATATATATATATATATATATATACATTCTGTGTGATATATATATATATATATATATATATATATATATATATATATCACACAGAATGTTGTGGTTAAAAAACATTGCTCGATGTTATATGACAGCTATTAAGAGAGTGAGGTATAATATCTCTCTGCCTCTCTCTCTCTCTCTATATATATATATATATATATATATATATATATATATACACAATATATATATATATATATTTATTAATATATAAAAATATACATGTATGTACAGTGTAACCTGGATATAAGAGACCCGGATATAAGAGAAACCCGGATATAAGAGATTTTCTCTGGTCCCAAATTAGAGCCTGTGTTAATGTATATAAAATAGACCAAACCGGATATAAAAGAGAAACCCGGATATAAGAGACTTTTCTCCGGTCCCGACAACTCTCTTATATCCGGGTTACACTTATTTATATATATATATATATATATATATATATATATTATTATATATAATAGCTGGCCACTCGTATTCGAGGATAGCCGTCTACTAGGGCGGCTAGCCTATCCCTATTGCAGACACTCGCTCAGGCAAATTTGTGTTTTGCTCAAGACCCACAGAGCCCACTCCTGGTTTATACTGCAACCATACTGAGCAGACCTTTGTTACAGTTTCTGGGAGAGAGTGTGTTATCTAGCGCGATCAACAATTTGAACAAGGCCTGCACGTTCAAATCCTCGGCGACGATGACTTGTGGCTTCGTGCTAACACAGCTATCGACGCCCCACTATCCAATTTCACTCACATGGCTTGGGGTCAAGCCGTCGTATGGAGTTCATGCACGTTGCAAATGTGTCGCACGCTGGGATCGAACTCGATCCAGTTCATTAACATCAGGAAGTCTCCATCCTGATAAATCAACCATGGTGAGATTCGAACCTGTTTCTCGTGCTCTGTGTGGTCGGGTAAATAAATAATAAATATATATATATATATATATATATATATATATATATATATATATATATATATATATATATATATATATATATATATATATATATATATATATATGAATCGTTTAATTTTAAAATCATAGGAATAGTTTATGACATCCTGTGTACATAGGATTTTGCATTTATTCCGCTGTTGTATTTAAAATGGATGTATTGTCTGGTGCAAAAATTCAACTTGCTTATACAGCTATGATTTATTTACGGGCACGAGATTTTCTTCTACACTGGAATTTTACCTGAGTTACCAAGTATTTCGAAAATCAGTGTAATTTTTTTTCTTTTTTAATATTGAATATATCTCTTAATACGTGGCGATGATGATGGCAGATATTTTGGATATGAAAGAGATATTTGAAAGAATGGTATAACATCATACTTGTTGGATTTTTCTTCTAAAGAAATAATTTAAAATATATTCAATATTTATTAGTCAACCCCGTTTAATTAGACGGATTTTAAGATTAGAACGGCCGTATAATGAATCAATCAAAACCTTACGTTTTTATTTTAAACAAATGCGTTTATTTGTATGTTTAAACGAGTTAAATAGGACTACATTGTCAATTTCTAAAATAAATCATTTATCTACTTGAGGAAATGTCTCATCCAATCGGTTTCAGAAAAGAAACAAAAAGGCTAAAAAAAATACTCAATAGGCTGATAGAAACAAATATAACAGTTACTAACCCCCTTGCGTCTTAGTGGCCTTAGTGCCATACTTGGGATGATATCATGAAAAAGAAATGTGGCTTATCTGAAAGGATGGTCAAAATTTCCTAAAAATGAACAAACATCGGATTGAGGAATGCAGCGAAAAGGCTACATGGTTGCGCCGTGAATTTTTCATCACCACCAGTCTAAAGTAATTTACTCAGCGTAGCTTATATGCGGCAAAAAGGCCGTAACTATGCAAATCCCAGTGAGGATCTGTCTGTCTGTCAATCTATTTATCTATCTATCTATCTGATTCTGTTTATATCTATTTAAATATCTTTGTACGTGTGTGCGTGTGTGTGTACATCACGTCAACTGCAATTTGTGTGCAAATATAGATGTAGGTGGAAAACAGTGCAAACGGGAGTCTTCACACTAGAATTGAGTGCATTGACATTGTACGAATGTCTTTTGCATCATTCCGTTCATCATTCACCCCATGTAATTTCTGCACCCGACACACAAACACAGACACACATACATACACACACACACATACACATAAATATATATATATATATATATATATATATATATATATATATATATATGTGAAAATATATAGAAAATAGGAAGGAACTGGTTAGGTAAATAGTCCAAAGTTCCTTAGTATTTTAGTTATTATTTTTAAAAAATAGTGCTCGATACAAAAGTAGAGCATAAATATAATTATTTATTTAAACATATGATTCCAAATCGCTACATAAGAGGTCCCATGTTTCAAAACAAGAGCCGAAAACTTCAATATAATCCTTTAAATTAAATTGTGTTGAAATTAAAAAGGGCTCCGTTCCATCTTCAAGGGAAATTTATATATATATATATATATATATATATATATAGAGAGAGAGAGAGAGAGAGAGAGAGAGAGAGAGAGAGAGAAAGAGAGGACTGACAGTACCCTGGGTGGAAGGAAATATTTATAACTGCAAAATGATGTTATAACAGATGTAAACCTTAACACGTGAGAACATATATTGCTAGCTAGCTGATTAGATAGATAGATAGATAGATAGATAGATAGATAGATAGATAGATAGATAGATAGATAGATAGATCAGACTGAGAAAGAGAACACGAGTAAGTTCGCGAGCAAGCAAGAAAGAACGAATGAAAGCCTGACAACGGACAATCCATTGACTCCTCCGTAACTCTTCTTAGCTTTCTCTGCATTGAATTTAGATCGTAATGTTATTTTCATAATCACAGCAGTACTTGAACAAGGTTACGTGACGATGCATATGTGTATTTACTTATAAAAGCGCGAGGTTGAATGTATACCGTCAATATAAGCATTACAATGATATTCTGATGTGTCTGTGTGTGCGTTTATTTTAACGCCTTTTCTAACATCAGGTGTGTCAGTCTTCATTGCATAAAAAAGAATAAATAAATTCTCTATCTTTGTAAAGTCGAACATGCACAGCCTCTAGTGATTCTAACACTGCTTTCAATGAATGCGCGCACACTCATTGAAAACATAGATAGATAGATAGATAGATGATAGATAGATAGATAGATAGATAGATAGATAGATAGATAGATAGATAGATAGATAGATAGATAGATAGATAGATAGGAATAGACTTGGATAGATAGATAGATAG